TGTGTGTGGAGTCAAAGTCGGAGACAAAGGACACAAACAAAGGAAAAGTAGAGGAAAAAGGTGGTNGCAATTGACCTCGATGTAATTGACTGGCGGACACTTGAGACGACTAATGTGAGTGCGAGTGTGTGTGTGTGTGTGTGTGTGTGGAGTCAAAGTCGGAGACAAAGGACACAAACAAAGGAAAAGTAGAGGAAAAAGGTGGTGGTCGGTGTGTGGCCGTGAGAATGGTGGCCCAGCAGCAGCAGCAGCAGCAGCAACAGCAGCTCAGTACGGCACACGTAATGTCCTTCTTTTTTGCTCAGAGTTCTGCTGGGCACCGACAAACAAGCGGCGGCGGAGGCGGCAGAGGCTCAATTCTCTCCCACTTACTAAGGCTGATGGCAAGGCAAACACACACACACACACATCAGCTAGTTGCTCAGGACACTTGAGAAAGTGAGCTCGAGATGGTGTCCTTCTCCTTCTTTTGCCCTGTGGGAACTGGCGCACAAGTGCGACCGCCGCCGCCGACTTGTCGTTGCGCCTGCTGATGAAACCGAAACTGCCAAGCAGCAGCAGCAGCAGAATTGTGCTCTTACTGTTTGCTTGACCATCATCAGTGCAATGTAATAGTAAAGGTGACTATTTGCTCAACACACACACTCAAACTCACCAAGACTCAAAGGTGGTCGAGGAGACTTTGCTTTGCCTTGGCAGCTTTTTTGTTGGGCTCTCTCGGCTCTCTCAGACAGGGCAAACAGAGTAAGTGAGCTGTGTTGTCGGCAACCAAGAGAAAAAGAAAGAAGTTAACCGACAAACAGCAGCCGCAGCCGCAGCAGCGCCTACCACTTCTTCTGATACACACACACACAAACACACAGGGCACAAAGCAAAATGACTACATTTTTCCGCAATTACACCAAAACGATCGCATCCGCTGGTCGCTAATTGCAAAAATGTAAGAGGCGACTAAACAGTTACTGGAGTTGACAAAAAAACACTAAGAAACCCCGCCGCCGCCACCACCACCACCGGCACTAATGTACAAAGAATGTCATCAGCATCATCATTTGTTGCCCATTAGGTCAGCTGCAACAGCGGCGGCGGCAATTACTTTGTGTTTCTTTACTCAACTGGGAAACTTAGTTTTTGGTAGTGCTGTTGCTAGCAAACAAACAGAGGAAGAGGAGAAAAAGAAGGTACAGTTAGACCGGGACGCAGTTTGGGTAACTACCAGCAGCGGCAGCAGCAACATCAACCAGAGGAATGCCAGGTCGGCAAGATCAAAGCAAAAAAAGAAAGCGATAGATCAGCTAAAAAAAGAAGAAGTAGGTGCCTGGGAGAGGCAACCAGAGGTTGCCACTTGAGGTATTAGATGCCGCTGACAATATCCTCTCTTTCCTCTACTGGACAATCAAACAGCAGCAGCCAGCAGAGCACTGTACGGCAACAAGTTGAGAAAGACTACTGCCGTCGTACAGTACAGCAGCAGCAGCAGCACACTTTTAGTGGTATCAACGACACTCTCTCACNCAGAGCACTGTACGGCAACAAGTTGAGAAAGACTACTGCCGTCGTACAGTGCTCACCAGCAGCAGCAGCAGCAGCACACTTTTTTTAGTGGTATCAACGACACTCTCTCATCCATTCCGGAATTAACCACTAAAACGCAGGAGTGAATGAGATGCAATGAAAAGTCAATTAAAGGCTAAACTCAGGGTAGCGACGGTGTGACAACGACCACTGCTGCACAAATCGGAGTTGCGTCAACCTGAGACGCGCTAATTACGCATTGGGCGCAATGATTTGCCTGCCTGCCTGCCGATTACAAGGCGACTCTGTTGCTGTCGGTTGAGCTGATCAGCTCTTTGTGAGCAGGCTACTTTTGCCGCCGTGAGGAGAGCTTAGCTGGAGGAGAGTGCGAGAGAGAGAGAGAGAGAGAGAGAGAGAGAGAGAGAGAGAGAAAAAGCTAAATAACACTTGAGCCAGCAGCCACTTAATTAATCAGCAGCAGCAGCAGCAGCTCGACTTTGGCTTAGCGACAACGCAGTTAGTTAGTTAGTTGGAGTGCTCTAAGAAAACAGATCTAAAGTTAGAGCTAATGATGATGATGATGCAGCAGCAGCAGCAGCTGAGGATGATGATAATGATCACATCAAAGGAGCTGATCTAACAAACTGACAAACACTGTGTGATCAAACACACTACCAGTGCNATGATGATGATGCAGCAGCAGCAGCAGCTGAGGATGATGATAATGATCACATCAAAGGAGCTGATCTAACAAACTGACAAACACTGTGTGATCAAACACACTACAGTGTTGCAAATAGCTGAGGATGGCTTCTTTTTAAAGCCCAAGTAGAAACTAGAGACAAAAATCCAGCAGCAGCAGCAGCAGTGACTAGTCAAGTGGCCACGGGCCAAACAAAAATTGACCACCACCACCACCACCAAGTTCAGCAGTGTGCAGTGACATCTGTTCAATCATCAGGCAACAGTAGTCTGGACACTAGGTCTAGGGTCTAGGGGTAACCACCACCACCACCACTGCTGCTGCAGCAAAAGACCACCACCAGCACTGGCTGCCTCAATTAGGGTCAGGCGAGGTCAGATCAAGATAAGGTGGCTTGATAAATGGTGGTGGTACTTGTGGTGACCACCGATATGGACACCATCACCATGATCACAGTGTGTGTGTGAGTGCAAGCAAACCTCACTGTTCAAGCCTAAATTTGTCTGCTCATTGTGTTGTTTCTTGTTCCAAAACTGGACAGTGAGTTTAAGTCAGAGTTGTTGCTGTAATAAGACGCACACACAGAGGACAAATTCCTACCAACTTACTCAACCGTTTTCAGTGGTAGTGGTGGGTGTTGGTGTTTGTGGCAGTAAACNTGGACACCATCACCATGATCACATTGTGTGTGTGTGTGAGTGCAAGCAAACCTCACTGTTCAAGCCTAAATTTGTCTGCTCATTTTGTTGTTTCTTGTTCCAAAACTGGACAATGAGTTTGAGTCAGAGTTGCTAATAAGACGCACACACAGAGAGACAAATTCCTACCAACTTACTCAACCGTTTTCAGTGGTAGTGGTGGGTGTTGGTGGTGGTGGTGGTAGTAAAATTTAGCAGCAGCAGTTGCCTGGTAATTAGACAGCAGCAGCAGCAGCAGAAGCAGCAATTCAGCATTGCTCTTAAAGCAAGCGTGCTTCCTGAAAATGAGAAGAAAGAAAGAAAGCTTGCGCGTGCAAACCACCACCAGGACGACAGATTGCGAACTGTGATTGCGCTGGGCTGCTAAGCAAACACACACACACCGTTTGTCATGCAACAACAACAACAACTGAAGGCAGCAGCAGCCATGTGTCCACTACTCTGCTCAGAGCCGATTAGATGACTCGATAGGCTGAGGGAGGGAAGGCAGAGATTCGATAAGAAATGCAAACACAGACAGACTAAACACAGCAGTCGTGAAAGAGGAAAAAGAGGAAAAAGATGAGGTCGCAGGGATGGAAAGGAGGTAGTGAAGAAAAGGGAGGTGAGATTGAAAAAGGCAAAGGAGAGAGAGACAAATTGGTGGCACACTAATTAGTGGTGGTACTACTACTACTCTAGCTCAGGCTCAAGAAAAGAGAGATCAGCATATGGTGAAGGAGGGTGAACTGGGGAGAGAGAGAGAAAAGATGCAAATTGGCACGAGAGAAGGAGGTGGTGGTGGTGGTGGTGGTAATAATATTTTGCAATCGGAGAGAGAGAGAGAATCGTGCCACTGCCATCATCGTCTTCCTTTGCAGACAGACAGCCCAGCCACCACCACCACCAGCACTATCTCACTACAGCCTCATTTATACCGTAGCACACACCACACACTTACAACCTCAACCCAACAGCAGCAGCAACAGCAGCAAATACTCTAACAGCACAACATCACTAACAACTGTCTTCTCTCTTTTATTTCATTGCAGACGCTCTCCTCCACTCGACGACACATCTCACCACCACTCTTCTCCTTCTTTCTGCTCATCGTCAGTGTCAGTGTCTCCTCCACACAGCCGGAGGCGTCTTTAATCTCCTCAATTCTTCAAAGTGATAGGTCCTAAAAAAGCAGCCCCTCCCCCACCCCACCATGGTCCACGCCAGTCTGGCCACTCAGCAGTACCCGCATCCACTTCCACACCACTTTCAGCAGCAGCAGCAGCAGTTCAGCCAACACAGTGCTCCCATAGCCCCCACTACCCACCACCCACTAAAACCGGGCAGCAGCTTTTCGGCGATCACCTCCCAGCAGCAAATGAGCAACATTTCCTCCCTCTCGCACCTTAACTCCAGAACTCCTTCAACCGCACCTCCTAAACCAATGGTCGCCGCCGCCGCCGCAGCAGCAGCAGCAGTTCCCTCTGCCCCCCTCTCAGCACGCCCACAAACTCATCACCCCAACTTTCCACCGCCACCACCAGCTCTTCAGTCACCGACGACGCCGACCATGTCCTCGACGGCCACCTCGGCGACGCCTGCCAGCCTACTTCAGCAGCAGCAGCAGCAACAACAACAACAGGAGCAGAACCAGATGCTGCACAATCAGCTGCTTTTCATGCTGCAGCAGCACCAACAGCAGAATCAGCAGCAGCAGCAACAACACCCAAATAATCAACAGTTGGCAGCAGCTGCTGCTGCGGCAGCCGCCGCCGCCCAATCTCATCCCTTTCTCCAATACGGAAATTCCGCGGCTCAGTTGGCGGCAAACGCCGCATCAATGTCCTCGCTGCTCAGTGCAGCGGCACATCCAGCGACGGCGGCAGCCGCTGCAGCCGCCGCCGCCGCCATGATGCAACATTCAGCAAAAGGAAATGGTGGCGGGCCATTCGGGCCCCTAGGACCACCCGCCTTTCCCGCGGATTTCTTCGGCCAAATGAACAACTTTCCGGCATTTCCCGGGTCGGCGGCGGCTGCTGCTGCTGCAGCGGCAAGCCACGCCGCCCGTCTAATGCAGGCGGCGGCGGCATCCGCTGGAAATGATCCAAAGAACCGAAAGACGCACCACCACCACCACGCATTCCACGAACTGGAGGCGCTCGGCTTTAGCCCCAAACAACAAAAGCCAAATTACGTCAGTGGTGGCCAGCAACAACAACAGCAGCACCAGCACCAGCAGCACCAGCACCACCACAAGTCATCCTCAGCCAAAGCACACCACAATCACAATCACAACCACAACCACCTGGGACGTGATCACCACCTCAAAAACCAGCCATCATCAAAGCCGTCAGAGGATAGCAGACGCAGTAGTGATCATCACCACCACCACAAGCCCTCACACAGCCCAGATGAGATTGACAAGCTGAAGATGGCAAACAAGGTCGCGGCTGCTGCTGCAGCAGCAGCGGCCGCAGCAGCAACCGCCTCAATCAACGGCGGAAGCAAAGAATCAGCAAATCAGCAAAGCAAAAATTCTAATAGCTCCAACAACAACTCCAAACAGCAANCCACCACAAGTCATCCTCAGCCAAAGCACACCACAATCACAATCACAACCACAACCACCTGGGACGTGATCACCACCTCAAAAACCAGCCATCATCAAAGCCGTCAGAGGATAGCAGACGCAGTAGTGATCATCACCACCACCACAAGCCCTCACACAGCCCAGATGAGATCGACAAGCTAAAGATGGCAAACAAGGTCGCTGCAGCTGCGGCAGCGGCGGCCGCAGCAGCTGCCGCAATCAACGTCAGAAATGACAAAGAATCAGCAAATCAGCAAAACAAAAATTCTAATAGCTCCAACAACAACTCCAAACAGCAACAACAGCAGCAATCATCAAAGTTCGACTTTGCCCGACTCGCCGAGTCGGCGACCGAGGGCAAGAAGGAGCTGCTAAACAACAATCACCCCCAACCAAACCACAATAACCTCCACCCAAACCTTTCTCATCACCACCTTCCTCATCCCCTAGCACCTCAACCAAAATCTTCGCAGCCGTCAATGATGAGCCACAAGCCCTTCATGGGCTCCTCCCCTTCTGCCGCCGCCGCCGCCCAGATGGAGGCCAGCGCCAAGATGCTCTCCCTCTTCAGCACGACGCAGTTCACGCCCCTGCCCGACGGAAAGACCAACTCTGCCCCTTCCTCTTCAGCAGCCAACGCCCACCACGCCCACGCCCACCCCCTGCAGCACCTAGGCCTGCCCCACCACCCCACTAGTCCTGCCTTCTTCGCGCCCAACTTCAGCTCGCAGTCCTTCCTCTCCAACCTCCAGACGGCCCACCCCCACCTGGCCGACTACTTCAGCCGCAAGCTGGCGCGCGTCAATCGCATCAGCAGCCGCCCCAAGAAGGAGTTCATCTGTCGCTTCTGCCAACGGCGCTTCACCAAGTCCTACAATCTGCTGATTCACGAGCGGACGCACACCGACGAGCGGCCCTACACCTGTGATATCTGCAATAAAGCCTTTCGCCGGCAGGACCACCTACGTGATCACAGGTACGAACATTGTGCTGCTGTTGCTGTTGCTGGTAATGCGAGTGAAATGCGATCAGGTTGAAGGCGATGATGCTGCTG